ATAATAGCTAAATATTAAAGAATATAATTTAACCCAAAAAAGTGAAATTTGTAGTTACACGAGATATTTTTTAAAAACCACCTTTTACAAGCAGACTTTAGATGTTCAAAAAATTAAAAAGGTAAATTATAATCAAATATTTAATAGTACTCGTAATTTTATTACGAAGTAATTTTATGAAATAGTATGGCCATGAATGCAATTATCCTCGGTTTTTGCAATTAAATAAATGAGATTCATGCCTGTACTTCAAATGAAACTATCGTAAAATGATTAAAGAGTATTAAATAAAAAGCTTTTTAAAATAATTAACGATTTAAGTACTAAAAATCATGCAAAGCTTTCCTACGTATATTATTGCTTATATGTACAATTTTCTAAAGTTTTGGATTGTTATATTCCATTGAAACTTTTGATGTAAATTATTACAGGATTATAAATTACGGATAATGTATGAAGTGATCTTCAAATTGCAATTAGAATTAGTTTAATTATATAATGTTGTATTGGTTTTTTATTATCATTAAAGTGTAAATACGATGTAATTTTTAAGTTAGTGTTAATTACATTGCGTATGACAACGCAAGATGTTGCAAAATGAAAAGTAATCGAGACGCCCCCGTTAAGATTTCTATAATCTTTGTCGTGCAACACTTTAGAAGCGTTTGAATGTGTAATAACCCTTAACTACATTATTAATGAGATTGTACACGAAACACACCAAAAATGACTAAACTATGAAAGTTTTACAATTATAGTGGCATTTTTTACTATTAAAATAAACCTTGCGAATATTTTTTTTATAAATTATAGCAAGCACGATACAACCTTGAAAAAATAAAATAAAAAGATTTTTTTAAATTATTTATTATGTTATTTCTTTTGACACATTTGCTGGCAATGTATCGCGATCGTTGGAAATATGCAGGCTTCGTGCTTTCATTCGCTTTTGTGTGGACTTCGAGCGTGTTGCGGTTGGCACGGTTTGAAACTTGGTCATTTTGTAGGCGCCAGGTGTACCTACAGATATGGGACTTAGAGACGTGTGTGCCCTGAATAGCCACGCTCTTTGCCTATTGATCCCCTGTCTATCTCTCGTGTCAACCTTATGTAAATTTATTTTTATATGAAAAAAGAACTGTTGTCGCTCTATATTTTTGTAACTATTATAAATCAACAATAAATGTAATTAATTTCTTACTTTTAGGTTGACTTTTTGTATGCTACTTTTCAAATGCAACTATCCCAAAATATCCAGAAAATAAAATTTTCTCCAGATATCTCTTAGGAACGCTTAAATGGTAAAGGTTTTCGGCAATTTTTCTTTTCTATAAAACTGCTTGAACAGGTTAAAAAGTAATACAATATAATAACAGTAGACCAAATATATAAGGTTTTTTATTTCTTTAAAAATCTTTTGTTAAGATGTTTTGTATATGATAACACTTGTAGGGCATCTTTATTGTCATAATATATAAATAGAAACATATAAGGCATCAAAACTGAAAGATTCTTATTTTATCCCATTTGCGAAACCTCTCTTGCAAGAAGGTCATCTATTTAAGAATCATGGTTCCTATTTTTATTAATAATCTATATGAATATATTCGTTCCCTAGAATAAAACTCCAATAATTTGATGGCTGAAAATTATAAAACTTTTACGAATAATTTGGTTGAAAGCGTTATTATTTCTTCATCGTAATTCACTAATGATCAAAATATGCTAAGTGCTGTACAATCAAAAACCAATTAAGCATTTAATTAATGTTTATTGCAAATTTTACTATTGAATTAGATCAGTCATTTGGGGCTGTTATATGTCAGTCATAATATTATTAATGGCAATACTGATAATGAACTTCCAAAAATAACAAACACCAATTTTGGAAGTGTCTATCTGAAAAGCAACTGCGGTTCCACTGATGTTGTGGATATCCATAGGCGTCTATAATAATCTTAGTGTTCCCAACGTTCGTTTGGCTGCTCCTATAAAAGAAAATGATGACCAATTTCTCGTAATTTTGATAGTAACAAAGTAGGTATCAGAGGTAGTTTCTTCTCAGTTAAATATACGTATGGGTACTTATCTTAGCTCCATAATTATGTAATGCCTCGACCTGCGCTCAAAGTTAAGCATAAATGTAAACGCCACAACTGTTCAACGGTAGGTATCGATTTTAATATTTACGTCCATGGACAGAAATGTACTGTAGAGTTTTCGACCAGTTATTTTGATACAAGTCGAATTATAGGTATTTTTGGTTTTAACTTTCCCTCTATATTAATAATTCTAATATTACATTTATGCTATACTTGTCACAATGAAAACATTGCGTGGTCGCGGTAGATTGGTAAGTTATCAAAATTACCAGTCATATGATCCTGAGCCTTATTAAACTTTGTGGCAAAAACCCGTATTCCTATTGACCTTATACTTTTATTTAAAAATTGGTCAAGTCTTGACAACAAAATGTTACATCTTATTCCAATATTATAAATGCGAATGTTTGTTACTTAGTTTCTCCAGAACGGGTTAACAGATCTTGATGAAATTCGGTATAGATGTAGAACACCATCTGGAGGAACACTTATGACTACACTACATATGATACCGGAAATTTATACGGTGCCCCGTAGCATACGATCGATTAACATTTTTACTCGATAATTCTGCAACGGTTCATATATCGTTAAATTGTGATTGTTTAGTTTAATATTGTTTGTATTTACATACTCTTTTGTTCAACTTTTTATTGTTTATGCACCAATACTTTATACATGTTGTGTTTGTCTGTAAATGAAATTACATGTTTCCCGAAACCTTTTTTAATAGTGCCTAAAATGTCTATAAAACACATGTACTTTTGTTAACGAACCAAATAAATAAATATATCTTATTGAAATTTGATGCAGATAAAGAACATAGTTATTCATTCTGTTTTTTTAATGCCATGCGGACAAAGTCAGTAGTAAAAGCTTATTTTCTAAATTACGAAAGAGACGCAAAATTGCAGTGCAGATGTATTAGATAAATTATTCTTCTATAAAGTACTATATTTGTCTCTGAACTGTAAAATAGAGAAGGTAAGTTCAGCTAAGAAAACCAAATGTGTTATAGAAGTTTGTCAGTTGCGGATTAATCAAGCTAGTTGATGTAGCAGGCCGTAGTACAAGTGGTGTTCGTGTGTCTACTGACGAGCCACTGACCCGGTCACCGCAGGAATCGATCGCGCGACCTGAACGCGTTTCAAACTACCAGCCCCTTCAGGCTTGTACCTACATCAGATTACAATTTAATTTGCATAGTGTAATTTAAAAAGAAATGCGGAATGACTTCCACTCGACGCCTGTGTTCTGATATATTGCACAGGGCGAGCCGAACAATTCGTGAAAATCCATGTAAGGTAGGTAAGGCACAGAAAACTCGTTGGAAATGTCTGTGGATAGCAGTCGCTTCGCTATTTTGCTTCCTTGTACTGTAGAAAAGAGTGTGTTGCAAAAAAGTGACATATACTATATATTTCTACTTTCTGCCTCCCGTGACTTTGTCAACGACGAGTCAAAAGAACAACGAAGTTAGGTTATATTAATGTGTTATTCCATACATATTAATTATCTTTGGTTTGAAATTTCCTTCAGATTATAGCCGTTGTGGAGTTATATGATATTAAACATACAGCCATCAAAACTTGCGCATTTATATCAGTGAGAATAGGATCAGATTAGGTAGATATATAAATGTACTATTTGAGCCGGCGACTTCTATCGCGTGAAATACTGCCATCGGATAGAATTATCAAGGCTAATTATTTTATTTAAAGTTTTAAAATAATATATTAAAGTATTTTTAACTTAACAGTCTCATAAACCTTACATGTGCACATGCAGACTTGAGGGTGAAACTTTAACAAACTTTTAAAGTCTTATTCATTTATACCAAAATAACAGCGTAAAAATAACAAACTTCGAGCCGCAAAAATAACGATAGTTTCATACAAATTTCATCCCCCCCCTTTCAACCCATTAAAACCTTTTTAAGGATTACATATATGCATTTTAAATATCATTTACAGACAGACAAAGTTACTTACGTATTTAGGTAAGGATTTTGAATATTGATTTTCATCATGGCGAAGTTTATAATGCTTTATAAATGATAATTTTTTTTATCTTATTTGCTACCCCACGTGTTGTAGATTGTTCTACGTAATTAAGCTATGTTATCGTACTAATTCTGTTCGTCACTCTCGTTAACATGATATTAACATCTGATATCTGATAAAACACAGAATGACATGTGTGATGTTTAAAATTTATATATTTTTATTGTAATTGTAAAACAAAAGACGGAAGAGTTATTCTCGACGCATTTATAAATTGTAAAATACTATTGGCATTACACTTGTTATAAAAAATCTTGTTGTTTCAGTTTTTGTTGTTCGTTTTTGTTTATGGAAAATAACCATGTTTTATAAATATATGTAACGATTAGAAAGGCATTTAAATTAGTGGATAGTTATTGCATTTTTTTAGAGAATAATCTCTGAAAAACGTATATCTAAACGTTGCCTTATGTCATGATAAATGTCATAGCGTATATGTCGTTTTTACGCTATGATGTTATAAATTAAAAAAAAAAAATTATATAACAACAAATGGTTGCTGCAAGTAAAACACGTGGGCTTACCTAGTCTAGAAATAGCGATTTGACGCAGGAGAAGTTTTTCTATTGTCACAGTTATTTTGTATAATATTATATTTATTTATAATAAATATATGACTTTGTGAATATCATTAAACCGATAAAATGCTGATAACATTTATCACTATGCTATGAAATAGATATTTTTTTTAATTTACATAGGAATTGCTCTAAAAAATTTGAAGGATTGGGAGAGGTCCTAAATCGTCGCAAGGGTTGTCTCTTAATGTACGTCTAGTATCTAAAATCTACACTAAGGAACAGTGTTAAATGAAAGGTTTATCGTTTATGTTTAGTTTAGGCTGTGCGGCTGGAGTTGTACTGCAGATGTCGCCGGAGTGCCGAGCGTGGAGCGAAGAGCGCGCGCGGCCCGCAACTATAGCGGCCCCTATCAGGCGCGCTCTCTGAACACACCGCAGCACGTATCTATTAGACGGTTAATTGCATTCATTTATTCCATTACAACTCGAATAATGGGTATCTAGTTAAATGATTTAAGTAATAGTACAATGTAAAATCTACTTCTAAACATTAAGAATTGCTACAAGTAGAAATTGACTTTAAAAGTATATTTTAATATTATTTGCTTATGCAAAAAGATTTATAAAATATTCGATCACATTAGAGGCTTAGACAAGAGCGGTATCAGGAAAGTCCGTAGCCCGCAGTTCCGCAGCTGCGTAGCTCCGTAGCTGAGGAACAGGAATACGTAGCTTTGTTTGTAGATGAACGGGTTGAATGAAAATCCATTATCTTTGCTTACCTACTATATCTATGGGTTACGGGCATTAATATTAAGTGGAATAATGTTAATTCTCAGAATTATATATTGTGTTGATTCATTTTCGTGACTGGTGTAGAAATAATGCGATTTTTAATTACATTTAAATTACAGGTCGGACATGAAAAATCTTGCCAATTTGCTGGCTGTCCCTCTCAGCGAACTTGTGATAAATTACATCTCTCTAGTAGCCGCGGTCACACTGTCCTCGTGGACGACAGGTTTGTTACTACAGAGTTTAATTATTTGTTTTAATTTTTTAAACAAATTAATGTCGATATTATCTTACACCCTTTCTACAAGAAACTACATTACTACTAGATTCTTCAGGGTTGTCAAATTTTCTCTTAACAAAGTCCTTAAGGATATGGTCATGGTTTACATTGAGAACACAAAGACGCTTGTATCGTTCATCTCTAGACGTAGTTTAATGTTTCTCCATTTGTTAAAATTATTGTTTGTGTTCAGAAGGGCGCCCCGCCCGTACGACGTGGTCGGCGGGAGATCGCAGGCGCAGAGCGTGCAGCCGGACGCGGTTCCCCCACCACACACACCCGCCCATTCTCTGTTAGCAGGTAACTAACTGGTTAACTCTACGCAAAGTAATTGTATAAAAAATATTTGGCCTCTATCGTCGATTTACCGTTCTTTATTAACACACCTAGTGAACGATTCGAGACATCTCGAGGAACCATAATACCTAAATAATAGAAGAAGTATTTCAGGCATGATGGAATTCGTATAATTTTCCCAATATTTCTTGGAAATTATTAGTATACTTAAAAAATATTTTACCTTTATCTTGAAGCATACAGGATAGTTAATTAATTTCTTTGTTTTACAGTAGGCTGTTCACTCGGGGGGAGCTCGATAGACAATGTCCGAGGACTTGGACTCGATCAGCGAGGAAGAACAAAGCTTGTTCCGACCTTTCACACGCGACTCATTGGCTGTTATCGAAGCTCGAATAGCTGACGAGCATGCTAAGCAAAAAGAACTCGAAAAAAAACGAGCGGAAGGCGAGGTAAGAATACAATTACAACTATAATAGCTAGAACAGTTTTTGACCAAGATTATTCTATACTTTGTTACTTTACGAAACCTGGCGACATAACAATTTGAAAAGTTTACAAATCGTAAACAATGATAAAGAAATCAGACTGGAAATAAATTTATGGATCTCACAAGGAATTTTTAAACCATTCCAGAACGATTTGGGGCGGACGAAAAAGAAAAAAGAAGTAAGATTGCTTGCTTGCCCCTTTTACCTTTTTACGGCTCGTTTTTATTAGAAAATTATATCCAGCAAGTTATCGCTTGTTAAACAAAAAAAGATATAAAAGATTGCAGACGGATATTCGATTCAAAATTTATGCGATAACTTGATGTTGCGTTTGAATGCGTATTAATGACATTTAATGCATTATTTCCCGACACATCGCTTCTACGCAACATTTCAATTAAAAAGTTGCCCTTAAGTTTAGCTGTTGACAAATGTTTTGTGACAGCTAACCTTTTAGTAGTTCCTCAAGGGAAGCTTATCATATTGTTTTGCATATATATTAAAATGTCATCCGACAGCCTTCTGTTTAGAAACCTCGAAACTCAAATGTGATAGTAATGTAATAACCTTAAAAATTAAACCCCCATAAAAACCTTAAAGACGTGAAACCGAAAAATGTAAAAATATATAATTGTTACTTTGTGTAAATAAATGTAGCTCCTGGAACCTTTTGTGTGTTTGTGTACATAACTGAAACAGAAAGCATCAAAACACACAAAGCACAACAGATTCACCATCATCATGCATTGCACACGATTGGCCAATTTCTCATCTTTGGCTGTATCATTATAGCATGGTGGCATCACCTAGCTAAACTAGAGCACACAAATAAATAATCGATTAAGATCTGTTCCGAATTTTCTGTATCGGTACGGTACTGTCAATTCGTAATGGCATTAGGCACGTTGAAGCAGTGCGCTTTTAGTTTGCCGAATGCATCATGATAGGACCGCGGCGGCACCAGAACTAGCATACTAGCTTCAAATGCGATCACTTACATGCTGTAACCACACCATCGAAAACAGTACTCAATGAAAGCACCAGCTGAGCAAATTGAGTTTTTCTTACATGATGCATCACTAAGCTTGTAGTTGTGATATTAATGCAACATCGAAGAATCACATGAAATTTAAACAAGAGAATACTATACTACTCATATAACAGAGTTCACTTTACAATAATTCACCTGTTTAGTGCTTGGATATTTAGTGTCGTTTGGATGTGCCAGGTGCGGTATGACGACGAGGACGAGGATGAAGGTCCCCAGCCGGATGCGACCCTGGAGCAAGGTCTCCCACTGCCGGTGCGAATGCAGGGCTCCTTTCCCCTGGAGCTCGCTTCCACACCTCTCGAAGACATCGATCCATTCTACCATAACCAAAGAGTGAGTGATGATGACACTTGATTAGAAATTTTAACAAAGGAACATTACATACTTTGTGTTCTTCATCCCGTAGAATGTGGTAAATCTTTTCGAGGCGAGGTCTATTGCAATAAATACTAAAATTATGAATGTCAGTAAAATTTTGCAACTTTAATTCGTTGATTTTTTAAAACAATTTATTTATTATCAAATTGTGATGATTGATATCATACGATCATTATCAGAACACAAATTGTTAAATAATTATTACACAAATCATCTTTATGACATGAAATCTTTCCTGCGATTTATCAATACTGTTAGCACGAATATTTGTGACCGGCGACTTTGTATCGTGGTCGTCAATTGTGTCAAAATTAGTATGAGATTTTTGGTGCAGTTTACGCCGGACAGAGACATACAAATCACCATCTCAAGAGCCGGTAATGCATCTGCGGTTCCTCCGGTATTGCTGATGTCCATGGGCGTCGTTGAACACCTCGGTGTTCCCACTGCTCGTTTGCCCCCTTCTGTTATAAAAAAAATGCACAAATTTGCGTGTTAGGCCCCAAAAAAAATCGTTATTGTCATTTCCTGAAATCAATTGATAGGTAATACATCATAGTTTCATTTTGTTACAGACTTTCGTAGTTATAAGCAAAGGCAAAGATATCTTCAGGTTTTCGGCGACTGATGCTTTATGGATATTGGACCCCTTCAACCCAATAAGAAGAGTGGCGATATACATATTAGTTCATCCATTGTTCTCTTTGTTTATTATAACAACGATTTTAGTGAACTGTATTCTTATGATAATGCCGACAACACCAACAGTCGAGAGCACTGAGTGAGTTATAAATATATTTTGTCGTACATTACTATCAACAAACGGATTTACAAATTTCATATAATCATTCGTAGAATGCACGCTAGTTTCAAAATTGTTAGTTTCGAGCTAGTTGTCTAATTCTTGATAGGTGTTTAGATATTATTAAGCATTATTAGAAAAATATATGCTTAGTTTTATATAAAAATGTAATCGAAATTAATGTAATTTTTAAAATATATATTTATATCTAATATCAGATCTAGGTTATCTAGTTTCTATTTTATCATAACTCTAATATAACAAAAGACATTATCTTAGTAAAATTACATGTAAATCAGACATCTTTAGAAGATGGGTGTTGAAGATTTTATTAATTTTAAGAGACATCACGTTTTTTAATCCATGAAAAACCACACGACCGCATCGTTCTGAATTTTTACCTTTTTTTACACCTCATCTATAACCGTGAAATGATAATGGTTACTAATCAATTCATCGACTTGTAAATAATGTAAGAATACGTCAGATTCATTTAGAGTTAGTTTACATTTAGCATCTTCCTTAATTGTATCGTTAATTTCAATAAAATCTTTAGTATTATCCGTCATGCGTTTGAACATTAGAGCAGGGGTCGGCAACAGGCGGAATGGTGAAACTCGGACCGCCAAATACTTTTACATTTATATTGTAATTATTATTATATAACAAGTATTATTTTCCTATGTTTTAAAGCGCTTTTTTTCTGTACCTTGATAAAAAAATTCAACCGTTACATGTTTTTTTTAATATACCCGGACCTCGCTTAAAACTATTTGCCGACCCCTGTGTTAGAAGGTTGACATGATTTGACACATTACTGAGATATAAGAATTCTTGTTGAACGACGTTCCACAATGGAGGTGAATTTTTGCAGAGTTATCTTTACCGGGATCTACACGTTTGAATCGGCGGTGAAAGTTATGGCCAGGGGTTTTATACTACAGCCATTCACATACCTTAGAGATGCATGGAATTGGCTTGACTTCGTAGTTATAGCTTTAGCGTGAGTAGTAGACAATTTATTAATAACGTAGACGAATAAACGTTACAACTGTAGATTTTCTTGTCGTTATTTTATTAAATGTTTTTTATAACTAATAGTTGTAATATAGAAAAATTATTAATAACTGTTTTAGAACTTATAACGTCGGGAAGGTTGAATGAAAATAAAAAAGATGGTGACGAAGAAAATTTGTTTTCGTAATTCTCTCTGGATTTATAAATTCGGGGATTAGATAAAGTGTACTTTTTAGAAAGTCTAGTTTAGCATTTAGTTATATTAATATAGATGTTGTGGTTGTGCGTATGTTTACAGTTATGTGACGATGGGCATAGATCTCGGCAACTTGGCCGCGCTCAGAACGTTCAGAGTTCTCCGAGCGTTGAAGACTGTGGCCATCGTACCGGGTAAATCTATTTGTATATTTATACTCGATTAGAATCTAGCAAGAGTTAAAGTAAATGTGCTTTTATTTGATAGAAACTTAGGCAATCATCAAGAAGCTTTAGTAATATAGATGGATTGGAGTGATTAAAATGTGTTGTCGGTAGTTTGAAAAAATATGATTAGAAACTGACACGTGTGTTTATATTGCAATTGGTTGGTTTTTGAGATTATCTTACAGAATTATATAATAGTATTTGACTAATCTTGTATCTGACAGGGTTGAAGACTATCGTAGGAGCTGTAATAGAATCTGTGAAAAATCTGCGAGATGTGATAATATTGACGATGTTCTCGTTATCCGTGTTTGCTTTGATGGGTCTGCAAATTTATATGGGAGTGTTGACACAGAAGTGCATCAAAGTGTTCCCTGAGGATGGTAGCTGGGGAAATCTCACCGATGAGAACTGGGAGAGATTTTGTCAAAACGAAAGTAAAAATTACTTATTTTATAAATTGTGCGCATTTACAAGTAAATATCTAATGCATTTATACTTCTAAATTCTACATTTCAGCAAACTGGTACGAGGAAGGCGGAGAGTACCCTCTTTGCGGTAATTCATCAGGAGCAGGGTAAGAATAATATCCTTTTAATAAATTCTTATATGTTCTTTTATTTTAATTTAATGTTTACCTTCTCGTTTTTCAGACAATGTGAGCCCGGCTACGTGTGTTTGCAAGGATACGGACCGAATCCAAATTATGGCTACACCAGTTTTGACACATTTGGTTGGGCCTTTTTGTCAGCGTTTCGACTTATGACACAGGATTATTGGGAAAATCTCTATCAACTGGTAAAACCTGCCTTAATATTTTATGACCATTTTTCCTAAAAAGTATTTATAAACAATAATGTTAAATAATATTTTCTCTGATGCTAAGGACAAATAGTTCTGGATATAATGCTTCTAAATCGATACCTTTAATTTCAGGTATTAAGGTCGGCTGGGTCGTGGCATGTGTTGTTTTTTGTAGTCATCATCTTCTTGGGCTCATTCTATCTCGTCAACTTAATCTTAGCTATCGTCGCCATGTCGTACGATGAACTGCAAAAGAAAGCGGAAGAAGAGGAACAGGCTGAAGAAGAAGCTCTGAGAGTAAGATTTTGTGATGCTTTGTTAGTGTAAAATTTTATGTAACAATCAAAATACATTACTAATTAATATTATAAAATAGAAGAGTCAATTGAAAATAATTGCTTTGTAGTAGAATTCTTTGATTCATGTGTAATTAAATGTCTTCAGGAAGCGGAACAAAAAGCTGCAGCGAGAGCGGACAAGCAGGAGGCTCGGGAGGCGCACGCGCGCGAGCAGGCCGCCGCAGCGGAGGCGGCCGCGTACGCTGAGGCGCACCCCGCCAAGTCTCCGAGCGACTTCTCCTGCCAAAGCTACGAGCTGTTCGTGAACCAGGAGCGCGGCAACCAGGACGACAATACGCGCGAGCGCATGTCCCTCCGTAGCGACCCCTTCCAGGACTCGGTGAGCACTCAGCCCGCGCACAAGCCCGCCGACACGCACCACGAGCCCGCGCGCCGCCAGAGGAAGGTCAGCATGGTGAGTACGCCCACACACCCGCTGCGGCACGCCCGAACATGATTCAAGCCGCCCTCTCCTCGGGAACTAATGTCTATTATTATATTCTTCTAAATAGAAATGTTAATCTCGAGTAACGCCCATGGCGCAACAATTGATGTCAAACATTTACCACCTACTTGAAAATTTTACATATCTATTTTCATACCAATCAGTATGAATATATAATTTATGTATTACTAAAATAATTCTTTTCTTTTAACTAAATGTACAGAAAAAATTTACTGTGATTTTCGCTGTAAATTCAGTGATTGAGAGTGTCGAAAATCTGTAATATTAATTTATAACAATAATATTCATAAATATGAAAATAATAATTGAATCATTGACGGCTAAGCATTATCTTTTCAACTTTTTGAAGTACATTGATGAAATAATGAAAAACTTAGTATACAAAACCGTGAAGTGAAATTAAACACATTCTATACAAGTTGAAAAGAAAGTGGCTGGGAGCTTTTAAATTTTTACAGTGTTTCCACTACTTTTTTAGTTTCCTCTATCACTTAAATAGAAATTGCATGTGTCTTGAATTTTTAGAGTTTCAGAATGAATAATTAATTTTCACTGATTTTTTAATTTTTCTCGAAAAATGTTCAATTAGCATGAAATTGCAAAAGTGTTTCACCATCATTTCAACATTACATTAGCTGCAGCTTTGAGGCGTGCATTGAATTGGTTCTGTTAGACTTATTATTTTTACTCATTGATCAAACTTTCTCTCATCTATGATTTGTTATGTTCAAGTTACAGTGCCTGTTGCGTTTACATTTATAGCATTTTCAACATATCGTTCCATATCTGTCATTTACTCGTTTTCAACTTCATTTACATGTAATAGTGTAGTATTATTACATCTTTAATTTCCTTTCATTTATTGCCAATGATTGAAATAATTTTGATATGGCATGACTTTGCCTTGACTTATGTCGTTTATTTGGAATGATAAGTTTTATTGCGTAGTCTTCATCCTCGATTCTTCATACTGCCTCGGGCTCCAATAGTATTTTTTATCAGATAATTTAAAGCTCTGATTATACATTGTAGACCATTTTTATGAGGAAAGAAATTAATCCAAAATTGAATTTCATGACGAAATACTATTGGAGGTATTGAGTCTATTGTCATGTTAGATTGTTTCTTTGGCAATGTGATCGTCCACGAACGGGCCGAGCTGAACCTGAACATAGCAACGATGAAGAGGTAGGTTCGGTCAACATAATTAATTTAATATAGCAATCGATAAAAAATAATAATTCATTCCTCAATTTTGATGAGTGATGCGGAGGCTTCGAAATTTTAACAATTAAAAAAAGAACAGTCGCCATGACCATAGATGTAGATCAAGGAAATTCGTTTTGTTATGATAAAAGTTAGCAAGTATATGCATGTAGTTTGACACTATTACTTCATGTGTTTATAAACAAAGTTACCTGACTAACCGTCGCTTTCATTCATTGGCATCGCTTATTCGTATCGGTATTTTATTGTTGCTATTTACAATAAGAGTTTTATGGTGATATTACAGCATTAGCGAATCCAAGGAAATTCTTATTGTAATCAAAAATAAACATTTTCAGCAGTTAATTAGAACAAACATAGATTGATGGCGCTGATAAATGATTTATAATTTATCACAATTTGCTTTAAAGCTGCAATATCACTTCCTTCCCTCCTTGATGTCTTGATGTGCTCTGACTCCTCTTTCCTAATTTATCGATGTCTTTTTTATCATTATGTGATACTAGAAGAGATATTACTATAAATCATTTTTTGTGTATTGAAGGTTCCCCACCCTGAACGCATAAATAAATACGGGCAGTTTTATGGGCCACTGCGGGAGGGCTCACAGGTTTGTCCAACTATCCAAATTGGTGTTTGTGTACCCCTTCCTTTTCCTCTTCAATAGGAAATTTGTTTTTCTTTCCACCTTAGTCTTCTTATCTTGTTGCAATTATGTTAATTCTTTCTAAGAGTCCAGTTGCAGCAATACATGGATCTTAAGAAAACAAAAGAAACAGCGAAATTTTCATAGCAAAATTTTAATTAACGCTACCATCGTGCATTGATGCAATAAGACATTATTCCTTATCATTTTTTGAAAACCCTTCTGTTTTTTCGCTAACCTCTATATTATTTTTCCTTTGTTTATTAGCACATGAAAGTATATGACACAATTCTTTAGAGATTCAATATTAACGACTTTCATTAAGTGTAGGTAAAGCCTCTGCAACCTAGACCCTTTGATCAGTACGTAAACCATTTCATTCATACTCGATCTTAATTGAGGAACCATAATATGTTGAGAGTAACAGTAACTATCGCAATAAGTGTAACAGATCGAATAAATAATTTTATTAATGTAAATTGAGATTTAAAGTCGTCTTCCAAGGCTACGTTATAACTATAATATGAATCGTACGGCAGGCATCATTGTCACTGCCGGGATCGCCGTTCAACTTGCGCCGTGGTTCGCGCGGCTCACATCAGATGGCGCTGCGGCCGAACGGTAGAGCCCGCTACCCACCAGGCGCGGATAGGAAACCCCTCGTGCTGTCGACGTATCTGGACGCGCAGGAACATCTACCGTATGCCGATGACTCGAACGCTGTCACACCGATGTCGGAGGAAAATGGAGCGATCATTATACCAGTTTACTATGCCAATTTAGGTAGGCTATTAAGTTGTCTACCTTTTATGGGTCTCTATTTGTGCCAATAAATATTTCTGAACATGGCTGTCGGGAACATGGATGGTTGGGTTACATTTTATCGAATAAGAAAAAATGATTTTCTAGTAAACTTTGAAATAAATATTCTATACTCTGATTAAACTTTTATAAATTTGACATTTCTAGGATCTCGGCATTCGTCGTATACATCACATCAGTCAAGACTTTCGTACACATCTCACGGTGACCTACTTGGTGGCAAGGCGCAGACAAAAGAGGCTAGGCTTCGGGGTCGTTCGGCATCCAGAAATCACAGCGTCACATCGCAGCCTCATGCCTACGCTTTGCCAAGACCGGACTCATCGATTGCATCACGACCTGTCAGAGAATATGTAAGTTTTAGTAACAAACATAATTTCATGTACAATATAGAATATAGTTTTACATATTAATGATAATCATACTGATAATATGTATAATTTAAAAGTGAACTTGATATCTTTGTAGTATTATATTTAGTAGTATTATAGTCATTTCCGAGGGTCGAAAATTTGCTTAATAACAGCCAAAGAATAAATTCAAATATTTATACTTTTGCATTAACATTTTCAGGAAATGAGCACCACAGAAAGCACTGACGAAGCCGGAAAAGTTTTAAAGCCATCAAATGACAATCCCTTCATAGAATCATCACAACAGCCAAATGTAGTCGATATGAGAGGTAACTTACACAAAGTTTACTAATAACTAAAATTACAAAACGTAATCTACGCTATCTAGTTTGCAAGAAATACTGATTGTTTTTATATTTGAAAACAATGATAGAGACGTATTTTTTTCTTTCTATTTTATATTTCTTATTCTTCTTTATCAAGTTTTTTATTAAGTAGTCTACATGTATTATATTTTCAGATGTAATGGTATTAAACGAAATCATCGAACAAGCTGGTCGACAAAGTAGAGCGAGCGAGCAGAACGGTACGCCTTTTACAAATATCAATAATTTCAGTGTTCTTACTGTGGGTTTTCACTGTCGAAATACTTGTATTAACATATTGTAATCCCTTTCAACTTCTTTAAATAAACAGAGGAAACAATATTTTCATGTATTATGACAGTGTAATTAGACTTTTCAATACTTCAATGCTGTTCAATGTTATGTCGTTGTTGTCTTGTTAAAAGCCTTTATGTTTGACTGTTATCTCTTTGGATGTTTCAGCAATGTGTGTTTGCTTTCTTAAACTAAATATATATGTTATTTCTAATCATTAAAACGCAATTACTCTCACTACACACACACACACAAACATGAAATTATAGGTATTTGCTCATTATGCAAAAAATGGCATAATTGGCAATGTGAAGTCACACCTAGGTGTCATTTATTATTGCATCTGAAATATTTTAAGCACATGCACTGTGTAAAATGTACACCAATTTGTTCTATACACCTGTCCTGTCTTTGATACACGTTTAGAATCCAATATACGTACATATTCAATAAACATTTTTACAAAATGTTTGCAGTTGAGTAACTCTTACTGAATGAGAATTTTAATATAAAAAGTGCCTTATTTAACCTACGCACCACAAATTAAATGTGCACCATTTTGAATAAAATTCCTGTAGTCTAAAATTTAAATTCTAAATGGTCTGTGTCGAATTTTACAGTGTAGTAGTGACCTTTTTATACTCACCATAAAATATCAGGTAACTTCAAATTGTGGGATGCTAAAGTGTATATAGTAAATGCCGCAAAATAAATTTGATATTGACACCGCAATCATAACGTACCAAACATTTTTTAATCTTCAACAAAACATATAATCAATTAATTGCTATCTTTTTGAGCTCTTCTTAGTGATAATTTTTTAGACAATGTTTTCAAGCTTTTTTTATTTTCTTGATTTTGTAGTATTTTAAAGTTTATAAGTCGTAATTGAGACAATGTATCATATCAAAATTACGAATGTATTTTTCACTTTTTTGCCACATTTACTTCAACTGGCAAGGAAAACATTGTGTACATTTTATTTTTCAACTCTACTTAATTATCCTAATTTTATCCATATATAGACGTTATATTAATATCACTTTTAATTAGTTATTGCATGGCAGTTTAATCTGTAAATATTATACTTCAATGTACTAATTAAGTCTCTATATCTAAATATTTGTATTTATTAAGGTTCTTGTCCTATTGAAAGCTAGATTTATTGCTAGTAAAGTAAATGCCGTTTCATCACGTATTTAAAAATCACGATATTCATATTTTTGGCTCCTCAAATCTAAATTATTCCACGAAATTTCATTTAATCGAAGCGTCAAGTAGTAGAATAAGAGTAGAAAAGCTTTGTTTCAAAGTATATATTAAACACAAAGTAAAAAAGAAAGGTAAAATTTCCGTAAACCTAATGTGCACATTTATAGTCGAGCACAAACTTAGTATTTGTGAGCAAATTAGTATTAATTTAATAGCAACGTATTTTCATTGAAATATGAAATACGAGTTGAGTAGCTCAAACGGCAAAACTGATAAATGACAGCCTACTGTGCAACAAAAATATGAATATTGGTATCTTTTATATTTCTAATATTATTGTCATCGGGGTACTTAACACCTCATTACGGTTGTTACATCCCGGTACAATAATTGAAAAAAAAATAATGAGCGAATACTAACAAATTTATTTCTGTCTTCCCTCTACACATACACACCCACTACGGTAAACGGGACGCAACAGTGTCAGTGTACTACTTCCCAACAGCGGAAGACGATGAGGATGGACCCACGTTTAAGGAAAGACTCCTTGAGTGCCTGATGAAAGGGATTGATTTCTTCTGCGTGTGGGACTGCTGTTGGTTGTGGCTGGAGTTTCAGAAGTACGTCGCATTGCTCGTCTTCGATCCGTTCGTGGAGCTTTTCATTACTCTATGTATCGTCGTCAACACGCTATTCATGGCGCTGGATCATCATGATATGGATAAAGATATGGAAAAGGCGCTTAAGAGCGGAAATTACGTAAGTTTTTTTTTCAATCTTTTTATTCTAGAACAATTACTGGGTTGTCTATTAGACATTGGTTATTTCCTTTTTGGGATCAAAGTACATGAAATAAATAAATAATAATAATAATGTAAATAATAATGGAAAAAATAGATTTTTTTCATATTAAAAATATTAGATGGCTAAGTTATTGATGGACATTCAATAATATTTATTATTGATATGTCATCCCATACATCTTTCAAAATTCCAAAATTTAAGGAATCTTATATAAATAGCGATTTTAAACAAGACACAAAATAACATGTTTTCTTTTCTAGTTTTTCACAGCTACGTTCGGTATAGAAGCTATGTTAAAGTTAATAGCAATGAGTCCAAAGTATTATTTTCAAGAAGGCTGGAACATCTTCGACTTTATTATTGTGGCATTATCGCTGCTTGAGTTGGGACTGGAAGGAGTTCAGGGTTTGTCTGTGTTACGTTCGTTTCGACTGGTAAGTTGGATAATCTTTTTTTTGTTTCACTGATCTTGAATTGATTGAGATTTTATGAGTTACGCCAATGTATATTTTTAACCATTATTTTTATACTTGCAACTTGTTATAAAGCAAAGGTGCTAAAAAAGGCAGGTGCATAAACTTTGAAATAAAATGAACCTCTTCTTCGTTTGTTATAACTTAGGTATATATTAATGATATTGATATATTTTTATGTAAAGTTATGTTAACTAAATTTTCAGCCTTTATGTATAGTAAAAAGTGTGTAACTGATAACTCCCCTACATTAATAATGGTTTTATGTAAATTTGTGCAATGATGTATTTTCAGCTTCGTGTATTTAAACTGGCTAAGTCTTGGCCGGCGCTAAACCTTATTATATCCATAATGGGTAGGACTGTGGGCGCTTTAGGGAACTTGACCTTTGTACTTTGCATCATTATATTCATATTCGCGGTGATGGGAATGCAGTTGTTTGGGAAGAACTATACAGGTTCAATTTGAAAGAAAATTTAGCATCTCTAATTAAAGACCTCAGCTTCATTATCGATTATTAAGCTTCACACTCCCTAATAATTTACACAGGGCTTTGGTAACCATTTCATGAACGGCGAGAGGCTCGCGCAGTGGCTTTATAATAACTTGGAGAGGCTATCAAATTGGCCCCAAGTAAAGACGTTATAAAGCTATACACGCATCTCGTTCGAGATCATGGGTTGAGCTTTGCATCAAGTATATTAGATGTGACATGCAGCTTCGCTTACTCTGGGTATTTTGATCAGGTCGTCCGTTGATGGGATCTATGTCTATTAAGTTTTATAAAAGAACACTAACATTTCGATCAAACGACGACGGAACATAAATCCCGATCATATTAATAACGAATGCACACTTCGATAGGTTACTCCAGCACACATTTGCATATTCTTATCAGATTCAGAATCACTTACCTAAGGGGGATGCAAAACATTTTATTAGAAAGTCAGTGAGTGATTCGGGGTCCCCGGTTCAGGCAGTAGCATAGGTGAAGCGCCGGTGAGCGAGCTTGTGTGACGCCTTGTTTCACAATTTGTAATTGCAGCTTCGAGTTTTCAAATTGGCAAAGTCATGGCCGACACTTAATTTACTCATCTCTATAATGGGTAGGACGATGGGTGCCTTGGGCAACCTGACCTTCGTATTGTGCATCATTATTTTCATATTCGCGGTGATGGGTATGCAACTGTTTGGAAAAAATTATGTGGGTAAGTGGTATTGGTGGGATGTTGCATGTTCGTTGGTGTTTGAACTTGGCGGTGCTGGCCTAGCGGACTGCCAGTGAATGTACTTCGTGTACCTTACAGTAGGATATATCTGCTTGCTTAAAACGCAGTTTATTGCTATCAATCTCTTTTATATTTTCATAAAAGTCTATGAGTTAAATTTTTGTTTTCTATGGCATGATGTTGGCGGTGCTCTCGGGGGATTCAAATATTTCTGTATCTTAGAAATTTTATAGATTGTGAAATACATTCACTGAGTTCACGTAAAGTGTGGATAAACATTGGGAATGTTCCGCAGTTATTTTCGTTGTCAGCTCTTTCCACACTTTAAACAGGCCCCCGCCATGATTCAATAGTACTTATAATGTGTTGGTGTGCGTCACACTGTAATGCTCAGTTTCCTGTTAGAAGATTGGCAAGATTCAATGTGGTCCTTACAAGTGAGCTTTCACTCCAATGTATTTGTATATAAATTGTATTTCTGTATATCGGTCTCTATGCCCCCAAAAAGGCGCCTCACTTGTGAAACGTTCCAGCTAACTATCGCTTCTTTCATCTTTCTCCTATTTTTGAGCACACACCATTGTCGTTCTACTTTTATTTATAATTTCTATTTTCTTCTTTAAGCGCTTTTACCTCTTTCTTGCCATGTGATGTGAAGTAAGTGTATTGTATTGTTATGCATGTAATCAATTCTAAAGTATATTTTAATATCTATTCTATTATATTTGAAAGCATATGCACAAATATGATATTCTGCGCATGCTTAAAGTGCAATTAGCAGTAAAATCGTAGGTCGTAAACATTTACTTGCATAATTTAATCATGATAACAAAATGTAAAAGTAAATTGTACTTTTTACTAAAGTTAAATTATTCAAACTTTCGTGAGACATTATACTATCAGTGAGCGACGGGCCGCGTCCACGAAATAATACCAGTACCACTCATCCTGATGAAAGGCCCCCGATGGGCTCGAAACTAGTCGGTGCCGCCACCGGACGAATATACGTGAGTGTTTAGCCGTGTTTATATATCAGTTTACATATCGTGTTGTTGTTGGAATTAACGTAGGATACGACTACGAAATTACTGCTAACTATATACTAATTTTATCTAATTCTTTGTCCCAATAAAGGCACAAACGCGATAACACCACGTGAATATTTCAAATAATGGTTATGTATCCGCGTCGCGTTTGTCGCATTTTAGCACATCGAGTTAGGCACAATTGCTATTTACGCTTTACCCAATAATAATATTAAAATGTTAACATAAGACATTATCTAATATTTATTAATTATGAAAATTTTAAAACAAAAACTTGATATATGAGATAATCAGAAGACAGAACATCAATGTCTTATGGTTACATTTCAAAATAATTATGTGCATTTTATATGTATCAATGTGATCCTAAATGTATTTGAAATTATGCTATCGTATTTCCAATGTTTTTGCTATAAATGTAAACCGTATTGTCTGTTTACGTCTTAAACACGTCTTTGTAAAAATTACTAATAAATTTATGATATTTGAATTCTAAATTCAAAACTCGGCGTCAATATAAAAACAATATCATAATCATAATAAAACCGTAAACAGACTTGAATTCCCGTAAGCGTTCTTAGTATAATGCACTATTAATCATTCCCAAACATCCTGTTATAAATAAAAATTGGAGTCCATATTAAAAAGCAAATAATCGTTGACTAATTTTTAATTTATTCAATTGATATGTACAGATTACGTGGACCGTTTCCCCGACGGTGACCTACCTCGTTGGAACTTCACGGATTTTATGCACAGTTTTATGATCGTGTTCCGCGTGCTTTGCGGAGAATGGATAGAAAGCATGTGGGATTGTATGTTAGTGGGTGATGTATCATGCATACCATTCTTCCTTGCTACCGTCGTCATCGGAAATCTTGTGGTTAGTATCACTTTTATATGCTACTAACAATCTACTTTTGCCCTAATAGTTACCTTTACAAGAATGTTGGCTATCTTTTTCTATATTTTTTTAATTTATTTATATAAACAAGGAACAATATACATTAAAGTATCTATAAATTCATTAAAGGGATGACATATTTTTGCAGAGGTGCTGCGACAATATAAACACTTACTTTGTAGAACACCCATGCCTTTATAACAAGTAAAAAGCTTAGTTGTAAACTTCTTTAAGAAAAAATATTTAACGTAATATCAGAGTCGTAATAAAAAGTGTATTTAAGTAAATAATAAAATTACAGGTTCTCAACCTTTTCTTGGCTCTGTTACTGTCCAACTTTGGTTCATCGAGTCTGTCGACGCCCACTGCGGATCAGGACACGAACAAGATAGCAGAAGCCTTTAGTAGGATATCAAGATTTATTGACTGGGTTAAGCGCAATGTTGCCGACATACTCAAGCTGCTGAAGAATAAACTGACCAACCAGATAGCCATACACGCTCCCGGTAAGAAGTGTCGCATTGTGTCGCATGTCCTTTGTGTTTGTGTGTAAGTTTGCAGATTGCTAGTATTGGTGTTGTGTTTTGTATTCGCTACGTCAAATATATGTTTTATTAATTGTATACACTTTTTACTGAATTGAGATATTACAAGGGGTTCAAAATCTAAGAAAAAGCAAAAGGAAAACCTTGGCCTTTATAATAGTAACTTCAATAGTTGTGACATGGAAATTAGCTGAGCTGAGCGTATTGTTTATGATAAAAGGCATGATTTTAACAAGAGTGGGTTTTTAATGTATTTGTTTTGTTGTTTAGCATGTGTGTTAATACAGGGTTGTCACTGACAAAAAGGATCAATACTTTTACACTTAACTTTCTTTATTGTGACTGTTTCTTAAGGTGACAACCCTATTTGAGCTGTGTGATATGTATTGCAAATACTTGATACATGCCATCACTGTACGTTGCTTGAGCCCTTGCAGTCAAGTGTAGATATTTCAGACCTTGTTGTTTTATTCCTTGTCGATACAATATTGATGTCGTTGCTAATCATTTCATTATTTGTAAGAGTTGTTTTTTTAGTCACGATCATAAAATAATAGGTCATATCGTCTAGAGTTTTGACCGATTTTGTACAATTCATAAACATTTTATGCCATTTTTCTATCATTTAATTTTACCTTCCTGTTAGCTAACTTCTTACAGAGATTAAATTTTCTTTATTATTTCCAGATTAACCATTTATTTAAAATTTTGATGTATTACATACATATAGATGAGTTGTAGATTTGTTATTTGGTGTTTATTCTAGACTAGTTGGTACTCGCAACACCGTCCGCGCGGAAAAAAACTTAATTAGTAGTTTATGTGTTCTTCCAGAGTATGTTCTACACCTATGCCAAATTTCAACGAGAACATACAACCGTTCTGGAGACACCTTTAAACTAAAATCCATCCATCCAATCGAATATTCGCATTTATAATATTAGTAAGATAAGAAGATTTTATTAATGTGGTACGATTTTACTCGATCCAAGTTTTTTTTTGCAATGAAAATACTCGTACTATGACTACTCTACCTATCCAACAAGACATTATACAGTGTCTTTTGATTTATAGCTTATTCGTGACTAATTAAAAAGCTCTCAAAATTAGTTTTGTTGTGATTTATGATTTTGTATGTAAATGTTGGATTTAATATTTGATGATTATATTGCTTTGAATGTATGTGTAATGCATGTGTATATTAAAGTGTGTAGTTATGAGTTGTTGTAAGTAATTAATATTTATGTGTGAAAAATAATATATCAATTGTAACACCAGTTTCTATGTTCGAAACTTAGTGTCATGATACCATAATATAACCTTGAATAACACTGAAACTGTTAAATAAATCTTAATGAAATATCCAAAATTGAACCAATATAGAAAAAAAAAACAATAAAAATACAAAGTATAATTTATTCTAATACTCGAGAATATGAAAATATATCTGGCAAAATATTTTTTATTACATAGCTATGTTACATTTAGCTATCTTTATTTTACAAAATTTTTAACAGTGGTAGAGCCCGCTTTAACATCTTCGCACGAATTGGCCCGGCTCGCTCGGTGAAATATCACGACCACACAGAAGACAGGCGTGAAGTGGAAGCAATTCCGCGTTTCGTCTGATGAGTGTGCGTCCCGGAGGCCTAATTTAGTCCTCTTTCCCTTCCCTTCCCTTTTTCTTATAAGGCAAGGATGGGAAGTGGAAGTAGACTTTCCGGGTGAGAGGATGCATGGAAAGGGAAAATGTTTTCTTTCTGTGCATCCTCTCCTCCGTCGATTAAAGGTAGGCAACGCATATGCAATTGCGTATGTCTATGGGCAACGGTCACTTCGCTATTTCAGTGATTTCAGGTGGCCACTCGCTCGTTTGCCACCTTATGATATAAAAAAATATATATTTCTATCTGTGCCTAGAAGCTGGTGAATTGTCGAAACTTCATATGAAATTCATGTATTTTTATGACTGATATTGTATTGACTTGGAAACATAATTTAAGTTGTTTCGTCCTGGTCTGATTTCTATGCTTGGGTGCTGGCGGCGTTGACGTACGGTGGAATGACGTGAAAATTAGGCTTAAAGGCGGCTTTATGCGGCCGCTGTGTCTCTTCAGAACGTGTCGACAATGAACTAGAATTGGGTGCAGACATCGATGATGGAGTTCTGTACAAAGATAAGAAGCTGAAAGATCAAGTTGAAGTTGCAATCGGTGATGGAATGGAATTTACAATACCAGGTATGAATAAACTGAATCATACCACAAAGTATTTACTGAATTACTGGCATACAGTAAAAGCTAAAACAAATTCGACTATTTGTAGGAGACAATAAATATAAAAAAGGAAAAATAATGCTGAACAACATAAACGCAATAACAGACAATCACACCGACAATAGAATAAACTGTGAACTCAATCATCACGGATATCCTATACAAGTATGTAGATAATATAAAATATATTGTTTAGAAACCGAAATTTGATTTGGCACGTCGGGAATATTCTTATTCGTCTGCCCAACATGCCAACTCTAATGTTGGGTAAGTGCATTAAACCATAATTATGTTATTAGGATGATGACACGATCAGTCAAAAATCATACGGTAGTCATAAAATAAGATCTTTCAAGGATGAAAGTCACAAAGGTTCAGCCGACACAATAGATGGAGAAGAGAAGAAAGATGCAAGTAAAGAAGAATTGGGCTTAGAAGAGGGTGAGGAAGATTTTCATTTTAATATAGCTTATATTTATACCGTATTGTAACCAATTTAATCCTATCGTAATTTATTATAATATCATAACAAAAATATTTAAAATAATTCAGTTGCGTATGATATTTTATCTTAATAAATATTATAATTACGAAAGGTTTTCTTGAGTCAAAAGTTAATTAAAAGATGTGTCAAACTGATTTTGTAAGTACACATTTGCGGTTCCTCTGTTGTTGTAAATGTACATGATCTCAGTAAGTCCCACTAGTCGTTTATCCCCCCTTATTATAAAAAGTAGGTATTTTATAAAATTTTGGTTATTTAACAGAAATGATTGAAGAAGAGGAAGATGGCAAATTGGATGGTTTAGGAAAACATGATATCATAGTGGCTGCCGATGAAGATGTCGTAGACGATACACCAGCAGACTGTTGTCCTGAACCATGTTACCAGCGGTTCCCTTTCCTAGCTGGCGATGATGAATCGCCTTTCTGGCAAGGTTGGGCGATGCTCAGGTTAAAAACATTTAGGCTGATTGAGAACACGTACTTTGAAACTGCTGTTATTACAATGATCTTATTGAGTAGTTTAGCTTTGGTAAGTTTTTACTATGATCATATCAATATATTCTTTGGTATTTTTTCTGAACGAGTTCTCTCTGGCGATTTGAGTAATATAATTAGAAGATCGTATTCAAATAGTCTTGCTTATCTTTCCAGGCATTGGAAGACGTTCACCTACCACACAGGCCTATCCTTCAAGATATCTTGTACTATATGGATCGGATCTTCACAGTTATTTTCTTTATCGAAATGTTAATCAAATGGTTGGCGCTTGGGTTCCAGAAATATTTCACAAATGCTTGGTGCTGGCTTGATTTCATCATCGTCATGGTAAATAATTAAATTATCTTTTTAGAAACCATTATTATCATCGCAAACATGCGTAATAATAATTTCACTTAGATTGTTTTCTATAATAATTGAAAAAAGGAACGAACAATCAAATATTTTTTGAAAATTGTTTATAATAAAGTAAAACAAGGATGTAGAAAATATCCATTTAAAGTTTTGATTAAATAAACCTCGTAAAGAGAAATTTTTTATCTCCTCATCGAAGTCTCAACTTTGTAAGAAATAATGATACCTGTGTATAGTTTTTCTATTATCAATTGCGGTGGACTCTGAGTGAGAGATAATCTGCTGCCCAATAACAATAACTAGGGAACCTAGAAGTTGGTAATATGAATGACGAGTAATGTCGCGATAGTTGTCGCTCATAAACCACGGGGCCGTGATGGCGGGCGCGGACGACATCCCCGCGTTTCGCTCCATGCGAACGTTGCGCGCGCTCCGCCCCCTTCGCGCTGTCTCCAGATGGGAGGGGATGCGCGTGAGTACGCGCTGTCGACGCATCGTTTGCCGTTTGCCTACCCAATATGGTCCTTAACGCTACCCATTGATCGAACTACTATTCATATTTGTATTAACATGTTTTGCTAGACTTGAAATTTGGAGTTTCTTATGCTCAAAAGTATCAATGTGCAGCGTTACCCAAAAGCGTCAGCTTTGATTGTTCGATGTTATCTGCAGTGGAGACTCAGTTCCCGCTGACTCGAGCTGTTCATGTCTCAAATGTTGTATGTGATTCGACGTTTGCTTCTTATTCTCTCTGATGTTCAATTTGAAAACTTCTTCGTTAGATACTTTGTTATCTATAAGGACTTGCTGTCAATTACTAGTTGTCCAAATGCATGCCTTTTTTCCAGATGTAAAGATAAAATAAATACCTAAATCTGCTCTGAATCTGAATGCTATTATTGTGATAATTATGTGTAAATAATTTCTTTATCCTGTGTTTCTTCATAGATTTAGATATCAGAGAAACTTTAAAATATATTTTAGATCGTTTCTCTGATATCTTTGGTGTTTATCTCGATGTACCTACCTACGTATATGTGTGTGTTCATTGTGCTTCCTGAGCTTTTGTTACCCCGCCCTTTTTATAGGAATGCATTAAACAAAACATGGTATTTGGTATTCATCTCGTCTTCTACATGTCTTTCTATATTTATCTTAGGTATTGGCTTCTGGTCGTTTTCTTCATCCATTATTGGATCATTGATGAGTCGTCTCTTAAAATCCAGGTCTCGTTATGTCTGTTTAGGGTAGTCGGAAGCGATAATAGACTTTTAAGTAATTAAAATCTTTGTATCCGTGTATTCTCAAACTGCATGTTGAATTTCATCAGGTCTCGCTTATAAACTTCGTAGCGGCGCTTTGTGGCGCTGGTGGCATTCAGGCGTTCAAAACGATGAGAACCCTGCGCGCGCTACGCCCGCTCAGGGCCATGAGCCGCATGCAGGGCATGAGGGTATGTACGCCTGTGTAGGTCGCTATCTCACTCTCGACACAATCCCCAACAATTACTAATTTCGACCTTAAGATTAATATTAAGTAATTTATGAAAACTTAATTTTATCTTAAGTTTGGTTACATCTAACATTGGTAGATTCACACGAGGCTATTAAACACACAAAACAAAATCAATTCTGTAATTTTTTTTGGTTTGAAAATAATACATTTGCTTTTTCACGATCATACTCGAACACTAACACTAACATCACTGCAAATGTTGAGTTCACAAACTTACACTTTTCAGTCTTTTTATCAGTAATTGATTATAATGTTTGTAGCTCTGTATCTTTGTCGAATTTGTATCGAATTCATAGCAGTAGTCGATTCGATTCTTCAACAATAGGGGAATCATTTTGACAACGATGGCACCCTGGAATGGCTTAGTATCATCTCGATTCGTCTCATTCTCTTTAAAGCTGTTCAATAGGTTTCATGTGGACGATTGTTTCATGTCATCTTTTGGTCAATCTTTTCTCTCGATATAGTATTTTCATAGTTTTAGAGTTTACTTTTGTAGTTATGTAATGTCTTATTTTAGATACTGCACTTAAGATTATCCTTGCAAGAACATCGATCTTCGTGATCTTATGCCTCTTTATGTATGTATTATTAGTTGTATTACCTTGGCTCCTTGTAAGTAGTTGTTATTGCCTGATTGCATGATTGTGCCTTTATGTCTGTTTTGCTCGTATATTTATAACAATTTAAGCTTAATATGTTACAAAAGTATTTAAAGGAATAATAAGAATGTTGATTAAATTTCATTTCATAGACATCATAATCGTAAGTAGTCACTTTGATTACAATTTTATTGTCAGTTAAAATTACTTTTACTTTCTATAATTTCATGCTAATTATTTATTTACGGGACATAAAAGTAAAACCACAGGACAGACTATAAGCATAAGAGCTGTACTGCAAAATTATTTGTCATATAATAAAATGCAATCAACTCTACGTCATAAAATAACTAAGCTGATTGTAAGAACTTTTACAATAAACATAACATTTGTAGATAGAAATATTTCGTATCTCTATAATTTCATCTGGAACTTGTCCTGCCGTTTTAAACTTAAATGCGACTTAATGGTTACTAAACTACACTAAGGCTTGTAATTTATAAGTGCTCTGAATGCAGCAGCAGTATTTGATGATAGTTGTGCATTGGTTATACTTTGGTGTCCCTAACTATACTTTTGACACTGTATAAGTGCGTGCGCGGCGTTGACGTCGATGTTTGGTGTGCAGGTGGTAGTGAACGCGCTAGTGCAGGCTATACCATCCATCTTCAACGTGCTGCTTGTGTGTCTTATATTCTGGCTAATATTTGCAATCATGGGCGTGCAACTGTTCGCTGGGAAATATTTTAAGGTTCGTAACGCATATACTTTCTTGGAAATACTTCTGAATGGTATGAAAATAAATGGTGCTACCAAGAGGACTTTCATAAGTGTTTTGGCTACGACAAAAAATGAAAATTATTATTTATTTAATTTAATTATATGTATAATCAAAATTATTTACCAAAATTATTTGTCAATTTTTAGTGCGTCGACTTAAATCACACGACGTTGAGCCACGAAATAATTCCGGACCGTAACGCTTGCATTTTGGAGAACTACACTTGGGAAAATTCGCCGATGAACTTTGACCATGTGGGCAAAGCCTATCTGTGCTTATTCCAAGTGGCTACTTTTAAAGGCTGGATACAGATTATGAACGACGCCATTGATTCCAGAGAGGTAAGTGACTACGACATATAAACAATTATTATTATCATTCTGTATCATTCAAACAAACTTTTTTTAATGTTATTCCTCTTTCCAGGTGGGACGCCAACCTATAAGAGAGACCAATATTTATATGTATCTATATTTTGTATTCTTTATCATATTTGGCTCTTTCTTCACTCTTAATCTATTCATTGGTGTGATCATCGACAACTTTAACGAACAGAAGAAGAAAGCTGGAGGCAGTCTTGAGATGTTCATGACTGAGGACCAGAAAAAATATTACAACGCGATGAAGAAAATGGGTTCGAAGAAACCTTTGAAAGCTATTCCTAGACCAAAGGTATAATTAATGTTAATTATTTTTATCTTTGAAATAATTTTAATTTGGAAGTGTTAAAGTGAAATATTTATTCTATAATTTTAGTGGAGGCCACAAGCGATCGTGTTCGAAATCGTGACTGACAAGAAGTTTGACATGATCATTATGTTGTTCATTGGTTTGAACATGTTGACGATGACGTTGGACCACTACCAGCAGTCGGACACCTTCAGTGCGGTCCTCGACTACCTCAACATGATATTCATAGTCATCTTCAGCTCCGAATGTCTTCTTAAAATATTCGCTCTACGCTACCACTACTTCGTCGAGCCGTGGAATCTCTTCGACTTCGTCGTTGTTATGTTTTCTATTCTAAGTAAGTAACTTCATAACCTCATTCAGTTTGACATTTTTATCAATGAAACGCTTTTTTTTGGAATTAATATAATTTATCAGTTTTCCTTCCTAGGCAATTGCTACGTGTCGACTACATAAAATTAAGTTTTCTATTTAAAATGTTTCAGGTTTGGTATTAAGCGACATCATAGAGAAGTACTTTGTATCACCCACTCTACTGAGAGTAGTGAGGGTAGCAAAAGTGGGTCGCGTGTTGCGTCTGGTGAAGGGTGCCAAGGGCATACGGACGCTGCTTTTCGCTCTCGCCATGTCTCTGCCCGCTCTCTTCAACATCTGCCTCCTCCTGTTCTTGGTTATGTTCATCTTTGCGATATTTGGAATGTCTTTCTTCATGCACGTAAAAAACAAAGGCGGCCTCGATGACGTATACAATTTCAAAACATTCGTACAGAGTATGATCCTGCTATTTCAGGTAATGATTATAAATTAATGTGGTTAAATCGTGTTATATGATGAGTAATGTGATGATGTATCAAATTTTTAGATGTCAACTTCTGCCGGCTGGGACGGTGTGTTGGACGGCATCATTAACGAGGAGGAATGCGATCTACCGGACAACGAGCGCGGCTCTCCCGGCAACTGCGGTTCCGCAACCATCGGCATCACCTATCTGCTGTCCTACCTCGTCATCTCCTTCCTCATCGTCATTAACATGTACATCGCCGTCATTCTCGAAAACTATTCACAGGTAACGATTATTAATATGATTATGTCAGCATAATGAATTCTTAAAGAAAATTATTGACATGAATTCCATATTAACAGGCCACCGAAGACGTCCAAGAAGGTCTGACCGACGACGATTACGACATGTACTACGAAATATGGCAACGGTTCGATCCCGACGGCACGCAGTACATTCGCTATGATCAGCTATCGGACTTCCTCGACGTGCTGGAGCCACCGCTACAGATTCACAAACCCAACAAATACAAAATAATATCTATGGACATTCCCATATGCCGAGGCGACATGATGTTCTGTGTGGATATCCTCGACGCGCTGACGAAGGACTTTTTCGCGCGAAAGGGTAATCCCATCGAGGAGACGGGCGACTTGGAGGTCGGACGACCCGACGAGGCCGGGTACGAGCCGGTGTCGTCGACGCTGTGGCGGCAGCGGGAGGAGTACTGCGCGCGGCTGATACAGCACGCGTGGCGCCGACACCGGCGCGCGCACGACGAGCCTGCGAGCGAGGGCGGTGCGGGCGGGGAG